TTGCGCTTTGTGCAGCCCTTTTCTTCAAGTGACGATCAAATGTCTCTGGTTTTGGTTTGGAGGGACCAGTGACATATTCCTTGACAACAATAAAGTTGGTGGCTATTTCCAACAGTTCAACCAATGATTTGAGCTCACATAAACCCAAAATAAAACATGAAGAGAGCTCCTCTCACCCCTTGAGCCAGGGAGGTTTGTGCGATTATTGAATGTAAGTCCTATATTTTGAGTATTTCCTTCTGGAAACAGGTGATGTAAGAACAAAGGCTTTCGTTCTTACCTTGCTTGAATTGCAACAGAGCCTGATATTTCTTCTTCGACCTTTGGACACTAGGGAAGTGAGGCATAAATACCTTCATGAACTCAAAGAAAGAAGATATTTCTTCTAGAGCAGGTTATTGAATCATCTGCTACTTCATAATGCCATTGATCCTCAACATTGTGATCGTTGACTCGAACACAACCACGTGATCCATTCCCTTATAAGAGTTCAAGTGTAGAGACCGAAATTTTGCTCGTGATTCATCTTCTTGAATTTACCGAGAGAATGAACTCTCTGGGAATGATACGTGAGGTGCTTTGCTCTTTGTTGGTTGGTTTCTCTCCACTAATGCAGACCCATAAACTTTGTGTGGGGAATGTTCTTGCTCCTCAATTATCGAGATTGCTCTCCGATCATGAGGATCTGGTGTTTCCTCTTGGGATTATAACTTGTGAGGTTAAGTTCCATGAGACTCTCCTGTGAGGGGAGGCGGTTGATCTTGCATTCACGTAATTGCCTCTTGGAGGGCATTAAACTGGTCAGCCATTTGGTTTTACAACTCCTACATCTACTGTTGAATTCTTTGTTGTATAAATTACCGTGTAGATTCCATTGATGTTGTGTCTCTTCGGCTAGTCTCACCTTCTTATAGCACTTTGTTTCTCGTTTGGGGTATGTCCACGCTCACTGCCCCACTCTTTAGAATATAAATCCCAAAAAGTCTTACTTGGCATGCCTCGAGAGATAGAGCACAAAAGAAAAGAGAAATCACAAGTCTATGAGTTTTGGTGTAACGAGTGTGTAACCCTTTATTCAGAATATAACCCCTATTTTTAATCATAAGTGGCTCAAGTTTACAATTACATTATTATCTCTCTTGATCTCATTGGTTTGAAGGTATTTCTTGTCTTTTTTCTAATATTGGGTGGTTAATATAACCACATATCTAACACAAATAACTGAATGGGCGTTATTTTCATGAAGAGTTGCGACCATCGGCAAGAAAACTAAATTTTACTTCCAGCTATCGATTGTTTAATTCCTAATTGATTCTATCGGTCAGCCGCTTCAATCGACCGTTTAGGTTCAATTGGATTACCGGTCGTCTGGACAAGTGTGTTGAGTGAGCCAGTCGCTTAATAATCTCTCGTATCTAATTTCGATCGAAAATAGTAGAGTCCCTTCGAACCACTTGATCTCTTTAAGATTCATGCTGACATTTTTCTTGTATACAATACCACATACTTCTTGTGTATTTAAAACATCCGACATCTAAATTTTAGTATATAATTATATAACATTCAAATCCCAAACATTGCATAAAAATACATCACCAATATTAAACTCTCTACAAAAGTTATATTTTCTATACTTTTTTCCGAACATGACCGTTTCACCAAAATGCTAGAAAAATAAAAATAAAACCTAATATGTTAGATATATAAATACATAATAAGTTAAAATTTTTGTAAAATTTTTAAAATAAAATACACATTTTTGTGCCCATCCTTTGATGTTATTATGACACTGAAATATTGAATAAGTAAAAATTGAAATATATGTATTTCATAAAAAATTGTTATCATAATATAATTGATTCTCGCTGGTCCATTCAACACAATGCATTTTGTCCGATTATATATCAAGAGAATGCAAAGCACAAAATGATGTATATGGCCTTTAAACTTGTATTTTCTTTTAATTCCTTTTGCCTGTCTTCATTTGTAACTCCTGTGAAATTGCCAATCCCATGCACGTTTTACTATGTTATGAATTGACCTAAACTACAATGTCTTCATATATATATATATATATATATATAGTTTACATGTGTAGAACATAATTCTTATGTATTTATATATCTCAAACCTAAACTTTTACATTTATATGAATATCACTTTGATGCTTTTAACCCAAATTTGAGCATGTGTATTTCACTTTTTTTAAGTGATAATAATGCTATTTTATGAGGCGCTATCAAGGATTTAAGGGTTATGTGTACATCTGAATGTTCATGTATGAAATACATAAGAATTATGTGTTATGCATGTAAATCTCTCTCTCTCTCTCTCTCTGTCTCTCTCTATATATATAAAATTAAAGAATGGCCAGAGGCTAGGATATGAGCCCCCAATCACCCGCAAGTGCCTAATCATTCAATCCAGAGCTGCAAGACAGATGCACTTAGGTGGGCTCGAACCCGTGACACCAGGGGACTTTTAACTTACTTCGCAGATGCAAACCAAAAATTAATTATGAGTTCCATATACATACATACATAAATACATAAATACATACATATACATAAATACATACATACATACATATACATAAATACATACATACATCTATATA